CTGGCTTGCTTACCTCCCTAGCCTCACCTCCTCCCATCTGCCCTTGCCACAGTGGCCTCTTCACCTTCCTATAACATGGGATCCTCTCCTCATGAGGTTTTGCAAACACCATTCCTTCTTCCTGCATGACATAGGTAACATCTCTTTATCCTGAGAGTCACCTTGGCAGAAAAGCCAGGAAGAGATCTGCCACTCCACGGAAATCCCTATTACTCACTGCACAGTTTTCTCTTCCTCATGTCATACTAGAAGTTCCCTGAGAAGAAACAGCATCTGCTCTACTGACTATTGTATCCTTCATTCTAGCAAAGTCCCGGCACATAATGAGGGCTCAATGCATTGTTGAATAACTGAAGGAGTGTGTGTGTGTGTGTGTGTGTGTGTTTAGATAGATAGAGAGAAAGAGATGGATGTTTGCATATGGGAAAAGGGTCTGGAAGTGTGAGAGTGAACCCAACTCCGGGACTTGGGAATGAGAGTAAGTGTCTACTTCCATTTCTTGGTTGATATACTTCGGTAACTTTGACAATGAGCACGTAATTCTTTTGCAATTAACAAAAAGAAAACAGCAACTTCAAAGATTTTTATAGATTTTAGACAGGGCTCCATCACTCACTTGCTAGGCTCCCTAGGGCAAACCCATGCCTCTCTGGGCCTTTATCTCCTTAGCCCTCAGAGAAAGGTCTCACCACCATCCTACACTACAAGCTTGGTCACATGTTGAGCTGCTATAGTCAGAAGAGACTTCATGGAAGAAGTGAGCCCTGGTGTTTAAAGGAGATGAGTCTGGAGTCAGAGATACAGGTTTAAATTCAGACTCACCACTTCCTAGTCATGAGACTTTCAGAAAACATCCTCTCTGAGGTTCAGTTTGCTCATTTATAAAATAAGGATTCGAAATTACCCTTAGGATGATTATAGGACAGCCTGGGAACTGCTTCCCCTGTGGACCTTCCCTTTTCCTGATAATCTGAGTCAGTTTGGGCCTTTTGTGTTGTTAAATGGCATCATAAGGCCACCTTGTCTGTCCCAGGATACAGTTTGGGCTTAGGAGCTGGCAGCCCTGGGTTCAAATTCTGACTTGAACGTTTTGCTAGACACATGACCAAGTATAAATGACTTAATCTCGCTGGGACTTGATTCCATAGCTCTAAAACAGGAGGAACAATCCCTACCCCACATGGGCTGCTATGAGAATAAAATAAGACAATATACAGAAAGGACTTGGGAAAGCACCTAGCAGCCACAAACAGCGCTAACAATTGTTATTCCTGTTGCTATTATTGCCATAGGCATAGGGATAAGGCCTCCTGCACCCCCTGCACTGAGCATCACCCCCTCCCCAGCCAGGAGCTCCTCTGTTGGGTTACACATCACGTCTCTGAGACCTTTACTCCTTCTGTGACCCCCTTTCCACCAAGAATCCCACCTGCACCCCAGCTCCAAGGCTGCAGACTCCCAATGTGGCTCCATCTCTATGTCTGGCTCATCCCTGGTGGTCCTCTCCTCCTTCCTCCTCCCAAACACAAGATCACAGCACCAAGCATCATGGACTCCACCCCCTAGTGCCCCTGCTGCTACCATCTCCCCCCCCCCCCCCGTACGGGGCACAAATTCCAGTGTCCCCTGAGGAAGGCCCAGTCCGGGGGAGCCCGTGCTGACGTTAGGGTAACCTGGGAGCCCTGCTTCTCAGAGATAGTATCTCTTCCTACTCCCAGGATCCCAATAAAAAATGCTTCTCATTCCCCATTCCTCATGGGCTTCCCTCTGATGCGCTCTCCCTATGCCTCAGGAAGGCCAGATGCCCAAAGGAATTAGGGGTGTGGAGGGGGCATCCATTCTCTGGACCACAAAGAGAATGAGAGGGAGGATGGGGGCGACGGGCAGGGGGCACCAGTCAGAACTGGAGAGGGGAGGAGGAACTTTGGGGGCATGAGTGTGCTGAGGACTAGGCCTCTGGAAAAGCAAGCACTCTCAGCAATGGCCCCAACTGGGATACTCAGGTCAGGCCAGTCCTCTCCCCAGCCTCTCGGATGAGTCCCTTCTGCCTTGCTATGGGGACCCTGAGCATGTCTTGCCAGCCTCCAGAAGGAGGGGTAAAGCCTCTTGCTGCCTCCAGAGTGGCAGAAAGAACCTGTTTGGGGACAGACAGCATTCTGGCTCCAGCATTTGCCAGCTGAGTATCCTTGGGCATGTGACTTCCCCTCTCTGGGCCTTGGCTTGCCCATCTATACAATAGAGCTAATGATACCCTACTCCGTAGGACTGATATGATTAAATGAGATGATATGTACTAAACACAGCACACTCTAGCACAACCTTCTCCCTCCCCCCACCCCCCACCCCCAACATGAAAACTCCATGTCCCTACCTGGAACTTCATACTGCAGAGGTAGCAAAGGAAATTTCTCAAGGATCACATCAACCAGTTCCCAACCCTCTTACTTCCCCCAGGCCCAGACTACGCCTTCCCTTTCTGCTAGCGGACCTCCCTGTCACTCCTGCCTTGGGGTGTGGAAAAAGGACAGCAATGACAAGTGGACACCCACCCAGAGGATAAGCTCATGGGGCAGTGACCTCATCCTGCCTGCCCTTCTTCCTCCTCCCTTGACCCCATGACTCAGGTCCACAGCCTCACACCCCACGTGGTCAAAATCTTGGAGGCTGCTTAGATTTGGATCATTTCCTTCCCATTTAAAACCCCACACGTCCAACCAAGAACCAGCCAGCGGCAGGCCCAAGGTTTGTTCTACAACACGGTCTAAGACTCTCCTTGGGTGCTGTGGAATCATGGCCCTATGGTCATCCTGACACTCTGACCCCAAACAGTACTGCCCAGCTCACTGTCAAGGCTAAACTCTGCTCCAAAGAATGAAGATTTAGGACCCCAGACAAGACAAGACTACAGGTTAAGGGTGGAGGGATTCCCCCAGGAAGGCTCCGAGGTCAACCTCACCAGAATAAGGACACAGCCTCCTCAGAAGGGACATTTATAGAAATGTCCCTTCCGCAAACATTCAAGCACCCAAAACCTGACTGTCAGGCATCAGAGCATCTCCGACATTCAGCCAATGTCGGGGCCTCCCATTGGGGGCCTGGTCAGACTGCAGAGGGCCAGGAACAGGATGGAGAAACAGGTCCCCAAATCCTGGCACCCCTTCCCACCGTCAGGCTTGCATTACCACAGGCTTCTCACCTCTAATAAGCCAAGCCCCCGATGGTCGGATTTCTTGCAGTACAGGAGTCTGGAGTAAACTGGAAAGCTCACTGAAGGCAAGCAGGAGGGAGAAACCACCAGTGATGTCATCAAAGAGAAGACAGAACTCCAAACATCAGTCATGGGGCCAATAAAAGCATTGCTGAGGCCACTTCGTGCAAAACTCGCTTCTTCGAGAGTCCCCTTGCCCTACAACCCCTTAGTGCAAAAACTGATGTTCACAGCCCTGACCCAAAGTCACAAAGAAAAATTTCACTGACGTCTGAAATGTTCTGATGTCAGACTATGATGTACATAATATGAGAAAGAATTCCACGCTCAATAGTTAAATATAAATGTTAGCGCTAAAGCCCAGGAACTCCAGATATCAGGGAAATGTACTCACCCAAAATATCCCCATCCCCAAATGAGCTGGAAATATGAGCCATCATTCATACCCTCCAGCCCCGGAGCCCTCCACCCCTCCCAGCCACTCAGATGGGCCCAACCCATCAGACAAGTCTCAACTACTCAACTAATTTCAAGTTTAGACTTTATTTCTCTCAGCCCCCAAAACGACAAGGAAGACTGCACAGCATCAGATTTCCTAGAGATTTCTGGGAGGCCAAAGGGAATGAGAGGAAGTGGAACCGAATGAAGAAGTCTCTTAAAGACAGAACAGCTTCATTACTTTCTAATACAGAAGCTAACTGCTAAAGACATGCCTGCAAGAAAAGGACCTGGGGCCTTAATTTAATGATGCAATTGGCCCATTACAATTATCCACATCCAATTGGAAGGTAAATAGTTTTTCTCAATTAAGGCAAACAAACCCCTTTTCCCGCTTCCCCCAATCTTTTCTGCTTTACTGTTTTGCCTAACGTTTTCTTTCTCTCCGCGATAGATCCATCCATATCTGAGTCATCCGTCACGCATTTCTCATTAGGGCAGGTCCGGTTTAGAAATAAATCCCCTTTTCTGGCAGTTCACTCTGCCTTAGGCCACCAAACCTGCCAACTCCCTCCCTAAACAGCAACTGAGGGCCTTGGGACACGGAGATTCAACCCCCTCTATTCTAGTGTGTCCCCACCACGGTCCCCGCCTTCCCGCCACCCAATTCCCCATCTCCTCTCCGTTCCGCCTCACCCACCATCTCCTGGACACTTCCCGAGCCCAAACTGCCCCATCCCTGCTCCCTCGTGTTCGCTTCCCACCCCCGACACAAATTCACCCCTTCACCCTGGTCAGATGTCCCTACCGATTCTCAGGATCTGTCCCCCCTCGCTCCCGCTGCTACCCGTGCGAGTCCTCCACTCCGTCCTTCCGGGCCAAGCAGAGTCGGGCCCCCCTCCCACCCTTCGCCTCCCCGGCAGCTCTCCCTCCTCAAGGATGGGACTGAGTGTTTTCGTCTACAGGGCCCTCGGCAGGGCCGGGAGACCCCGCTCCCCTCCTAGCTCCGGCTGGCTTCCTTGAGCTCTCCAGAATCACCACGGCGACAGATCGGTCCCCACGCCCCTGCACGCCCAGGGCCTCCGGTAATCACAAGCACCCACCAGCCTCCTCCAGGGCCTCCCGGGTGAGGGCAGGTCCCTCCGCGCCCCAGCCCGCTCGGCGGCGAGGTTGGGGCGGGCTTGGATTCTGGCGGCCCCCCGCGCCTCGGGGGCCCTGAGCCGGGCAGCGCCGCGGACCGGGGGAGACGGCCGGGCGCCGGGGGGCAGGGCACGCGGTCCGGCGGCCCCGCACCGCGCGGCCGCAGACAAAGGCCGCCCCCGCCCGCGCGAGCCCGCGCCACGCAAGCACTCACCGCGCCGCGCCGGCTCTCGGGACGCGGGGGGGACGCGGGGACGCGGCGGAGCGCCGTGGAGTCGCCGCCGCCGCCGCCGCCGCCGCTGCCGCGAGGCCGGGCCCGAGTTCGGGGTCGGGGGCGGCCCCGCGAGGCCGAGGGGCGGGGCGGGCTGGAGGAAGCCGCGGGCCCGGAAAGGCAGCCCGGGTGTGCCCGGCGGCGGGATTGGCCCCGCGGCGGCGGTCCGGGGCAGAGGCCTGAGCCCTGAGCCCGCCCGCTGGGCAGGGCATCGGCCAAGACCCCGCCCCAGACCCCAGTCCACGCCCTGGACTCGGGCCAGCGGACGCTGGTTGGATCGTGCCCATCCCCCGCCGGGTTCCCACACTCCCAAGATCCAACGTGTAGTGTCTGCGAGAGGGGACAGGTGACTGCCCACTGCCTACCCCCACCCTCCAGCCGGCTGGCGGCTGAGCCGGAGCCCGGAGCCCGCTGGCCGACCCCAGTCCCGCGTTCTCCCTCGGCCCCGGGTCGGTACTGCGGCGTGGAAAGGGTTAATTCGACTGCGAGGAATTAAGAGCTGCAGGGAGCTCTCTATAAATACAGTGTCGTGGGCGCCTGAGCCAACCACAGGGTAATTTCCGCTGGGCTGGTTTTCCTCTTTTCCTCCCACCCACAGCCACCCGACCAGCCCTGCCCCCAGCCCCAGGCCGGGCTCCAACAGGGGGAGCGGCTCTGAAGCCCGCACCCCCAACACTTCGTCTGGGCTCTGTCCTTACAGGACCCAGCTCAGCGGAAGACATGGGGGGTCAGGCCCTTGCCCTGGCACATCCTGTCCCTGCACCTGTTCCCTGACCTGTTCATCAGTTACAGACAGTAACACCTACAGTGTAGCCAGGCTTCTGTGGGCCAGAGTCTAGTCCACTAGCTTTCCTTGCTGGGTCTCTTTAGATCCTCACAACAGCCCCACCGGGAATATAATATTATCCCTGTTTTACAGATGAGAACCCTGAGGCTGGAGGAAAGGACTCTAACCTTGTGTTTTTGCCACAGGCCCACCACCAAGTGGTGGGCAAAGGGGGAGGGGGCTCAGGAAATATGAATGAACGCGTATTAGTCTCTGTGTGTCAGCCACTGTTTTAAGCTCTTTACCATTTTATCTCATTAACTCTTCACGACTCAGCAAGATGCATGCGAGGTGTGTGCCACCATTATTATCGTCATTGTTACAAATAAAGAAATTAAGACACAAACAGATTAATCACTTACTAGAGGATGATACTATTAAGTGGAGAAACAGGATTTGTCCCCTTAAGTGCTGAGTGCAAACTTAACTCTGTGTGTGTGTGTGTGTGTGTGTGTGTGTGGCAGTGGTGCATGGGTATGTGTGTTTGTGAGCAACTCTGTATTGGAGTCTGTGTGCACATGTATTTCTCAGTATAAATTTGATAGCTGGTGTGTCTTTGTAACTGCTTCTAGGGATGAGGGCAGAGGGCAAGGGGTTCAAGACCCGGCCATCTGGTCCAGGGTCCTTGGAGGTCATCAGCCACCCCACCAATCCATGCTGCTCCCCCTGCCCTGTCGGGGCCTGTCCAGCCTGGCCCTGGCCTCATAGGTTTCGGGATGAGCAGCCCCCACTAGGCCCCACAATTTGGGGAGAAACATCCAAGGAAGGGGTGTCCTTAGGCTGATAGCCAGGATGCCTGCCGCAAGACCCTGGAGGTGGCATTTGAACCAATCTAGAAGGTCCTCTCCTTCCCTCCACCGAGCATCAACCCAATGCCCTGTGCCCTGCAGGGGTGACACAGGTCCTGTCCCAGAGAACTTATAATTAGGCAGCGGACGTGTGACTCAGCCACAATGGACAGTGAAGGAATAGCACAGGGCAGTTTATACTGGTGTGGAGCAGAGGGGAGACTTTTATCATAATTGCTTGAGAGATCAGGTCAAGAGGGAAGGAAATGAGTATTGCCTCTCATTACTGGAAGCAGTGGCTCGAGAGGATGCTGATCCCCCTGAAAGGGTAAACAGCTAGGGCAGGGAATAGACAGAGTGTCTGCAGGACAGGCTCAGCTGAGACTTAGACACCTGGCCTTGACACAAACAGCTAGAGTGACCACCCCAGCATACAGCAATCTCCTCAGTGCAGAGAGAATGTTTATTCTATGCCTACTCAAAAATACATCATTTCCCAGACTCCCTTGCAGCTAGAAGTAGCCACGTGACCCATTGTAGCCAATGAGATGGGAGTGAAATTCACTGGTTGAGGCTTGGGGAAAAACTTGTTAAAGGAACAGTCTTCTACTCTGGAAAACAGTATGGTGGCTCCTCAAAAAGTTAAAAATAGAATCACTGGGGGATCCAACAATCTCACTTCTGGGTACAAACCCAAAAGAATTGAAAGCAAGGTCTCAAAGAGATATTTCCATAACCATGTCCATAGCAGCATTATTCACAAGAACCGAAAAGTAGAAACAACCCAAGTGAACATCAATAAATGAGTGGATAAGCAAAATGTGGCAATATGTATAATGGAATATTATTCACCCTTAAGAAGGAAGGAAATTCTGATACATACTACAATGTGGATGAACCTTGAGGGCATTATACTAAGCGAACTAAGCCAGTCACAAGAAGACAAGGGCATCTGGGTAGCTCAGTCAGCTAAGTGTCAGACTTTGGCTCCGGTCAAGATCTTACAATTCGTGGTTTGAGCCCCACGTTGGGCTCTGTGCTGACATCTCAGAGCCTGGAGCTTGCTTTGAATTCTGTGTCTCCCTCCCACCCCCTGCCCCCGGCCCCTCTCCTGCCTGTGCTCTCTCTCTTTCAAAAATAAGTAAGTAAACAAAAAAGACAAATACTGTATGATTCTACTTACATGAAGTACCTACTCAATGTAGTCAAATTCATAGGGACAGAGAGTAGAAGTGTGGTTGTCAGAAGCTGGGAGAGGAGGGGATGGGGAGTTGCTATTTAGTGGATACAGAGTTTCAGTTTTATAAGAGGAAAAGAGTTCTGGAGATAAGTTGCACAACAGTGTGAATGTACATTCCACTACTGAACTGTGCATTTAGAAATGGTTAAGATGGTAAGTTTTATCTCCTGTATATTTTACCGCAATTAAATATAGATTTTTAAAATTTATTTATTTTGAGAGAAAGCATGCATACACACCGGGGAGAAGCAGAGAGAGAGAGAGAGGAGAAAGAGAAGCCCAAGCAGGCTCTTCGCCGTCAACACAGAGCCTGACTTAGGGCTCCATCTCATGAACCATGAGATCATGACCAGAGCCTAAATCAAGAGTCGAACGTGTAACTAACCCCACTGAGCCACCCAGGTGCCCCCACAGTTAAATTTTTTAATGTTTATTTATTTATTTTTAAGAGAGAGCGAGCATGACTAGTGGAAGGGCGGAGAGAGAGAGGGAGACAGAGAATCCCAAGTACACTCCACGCTATTAGCACACAGCCCAATGTGGGGCTCGAACCCATGAGCCATGAGATCATAACATGAGCTTAAATCAAGAGTCAGACGCTGAACCAACAGTCACACACAGCGTCCTGACAATTAAATATTTTGAAAAATAATACAGGGGCTCCTGGGTGGCTCAGTCGGTTAAGCACCCGACTTCAGCTCAGGTCACAATCTCATGGTTTGTGAGTTCGAGCCCCGCGTCAGGCTCTGTGCTAACAGCTAGCTCAGAGCCTGAAGCCTGCTTCAGATTCTGTGTCTCCCTCTCCCTGCCCCTCCTCTGCTCATTCTCTCTCTCTCTTTCTCTCTCTCTCTCTCTCTCTCTCTCTCAATGAATAAATACACATTTAAAAATTTTTAGAAGAAAAAGAAAAATCGAGTCTTGGCAATCCTGGGGGGCTCAAGGCCCCCTTTGGGGATTTTTTTCAAAGCTCCCTGTGACACTCACCAGTATCTGGGCCTTGGCCTCCCCCTCCTCAGGCTGCACATTCCCTCCTGAGTTGTTTGCATTTTCAGGCCTCAAGTCCTTGATGTTTGGGCAAAGGCTACCACCCCACCCAGCCCCACCCACTCATTTAGGGCTGACAGGGCTGCCCTCCGGAGCCAGCCAGCCAGCCCAGGGAACCAGGTTTCCCCTAAATGACCGGATCGAGTGTACGGTTGAGTATGGTCACAGCGCTCCTGCTTTCTGCTCTATTATTCCTGGCGCTTGAGTGTTGCAGTAGATGTCACGTGTCTAGATCCAAATATTTCCAGCTGGAAGCATCTGGCCGCCAAAATAACGGGAGCAGCCTGGAAAAGGCGTGGAACTGATCCTTCAAGACCACCTTACCCACCCACACCCCCCGGCCAGCATACACCCTGCAAAATAACAACACGCCTTCTAACCAAGCTTGCGTCACCAGCTTGTGGCCCCACATGATCCCCTGTCCCCTCGTCTTTCCCGGTCACCGTCTCCAGTATTCGTCCTCCTCCCCAACCCTGGTGGAGCCACTCAGCCTCCTCCCCCTCTCCTCTCCCTTCTCCATCCCGGGCTTACAGCTTACAGCACTCGCATTACCAGGAATCCTTCTTGGAGCCCTCCCTGCTGGAGGATCAGGGTGGTTCTCCCAACAAGAGGGCTGGAATGGAGTTAAGATACAAAACAACAGAAGTAAAAGAGCACCATGGTGCCAGGAGGCCTTTTCCGTAACATTTGGGAATTGTTTCTTTTTCTGGTGCCTTCCAGTCACGTGCAAATCATCCAGCTATCAGCACTTGCACAATCCCGGGACTCAGTGCCTCCTTCAGGGTTGCATCACAGGGGCCACCTTTATGTCACCCTGGCCCTGCTCCTAGGGTTGGCCAATGACAGGCTCGGAGAAGAGAGCACAGAACAGAAGGAGTAAGAGTTCAGCTAAAAGGATAGATAAGACCAGGGCTCCTGGCTTAGAGAACAAGGGGCCTCGCAGGAGAAACTGGCCATGGAGGCCTTCCCAGGGCAGACAGTGGACAAACTGCCTGAAATCCAGAAATCCCGATCTCAATCCAGGTGCTTGATCTTAAATACTAGTATTGCTGTTTTCAGTGACGGGGGCCCAGGACGGTCATTTGGTTTTAGTTGGACTTGAGACTGTGCCTGGGCATCTTCAGGACATCTGACCAGAGTCCCAGGCCTGGGAAGGACACAGGGAACGCTTAGCTGCCCCAACAGTGAGAACGTTTTATTCAGTCCTGCCAAGTGGGGCATTCTTCATCTG